CTTCTTTAAGTTTAACGTTCTTTTAAGTCCGATTTTATATCGATAATAATAAGCAATCGAAGAACTTTTACTTTAATTGCTTATCGGTAATATCTTTATTAGCGAAGCAAATAAAGCTTGTAAGATTAAATTAACGAGTGAATTATAAAAGCTTTGCTTTAAAAGCTTTTTTTTTTACTATTTACTTATTGCTTAAGTCGTTTAAGAAGCTAATATTATCTTTTCATTTAGCTAAATCGAAAGCTTTATACTTTTCTTTAATTACTAATTTGAAGTCGTTTTAAGTTACTTTCGAGTCCGAAAAGCCGCCGAAGCTCTCGATATTATAACGTATATTATAATCGAAAAGGCTAAAGATATTATACTTAGCAAAGCATTGCTTTTTCTTCGAATCGATAACGATATCGTAATCTTTAAACGCTCGTTCGAGCTAGCGAATATAATCCGTAATATTAGCTTTGTCGAAAGCAAGCATTTTAAAAGCTTTAAGTTTAAAAAGAAGTTTACGAATACTTACGTAATTTAAAGCATTTACGAAAAGTAAAAAGGCTTAAATCTTCTTTACTTCGTCGTCGGTTAACTTGCGAGTAGCATTTTTATTAAGTCCGAAATCCTTTTAAATCGAAGAAGTTATAGTTTTTTTTAATTTCCGAAAGCTTTAACGTAAGCTCGCTAAGTTGAATTAATAAATATCGATTAAAGTGTAAAAGTGTTTCGAAACGGATGCGAAAAAAGAACGAGAATAATATAAATGTAAATATAAATGAATAATAAAAATAAAATAAGTACAATTTATAATAAATATTAAATACATAAAGAAATGTTATAAAAATATAAGATCTCGATGCGTCGAAAGTGATTTATTAAAAAGTCGAATATCGATCGCGTCGAGTTAAATAATCGAAATTAAATCGATATAATAAATGATATTAATAATACATTTAACTTTTAAACGTAAGATCCGAATAAACGGAAAAGTAATTATTAAGATTAAGTGTATCGAAATAAAAACGAAGTCGAGTAATAGCCGAGCTTTTATATAAGCATATAGCTTGCTTTTAATATAATGCGATATCGAAACGGTTTTGAATTGCATAACACTTATTTCCGCTCGCTATATTTTTTATTTATTAAAGCGAAAGATATTCGAAAGCAATTCGAAGTCTTTATGCGTAATCTTTATTGCGAAGTAAGTGTTGAATTTTCAACTTTTTAAGCTTAACGTAGTATTTTCGATACTTAGCTATTACTTATCTTTTTAAAAAAAGAAAAGCAGCAAACTCGTATTAAAAGCGATATTGAATCGAAAGAAATAAAGTATATTAAACGAATAATATTTCGAGCGTATCGCCGTACAAAGTAGCTTAAATGAATAGAACTTTATAAATACCGAATTGAACTTTAGCTAGCTCGATCTTCGAATTAAAGTAACGACTTTTTAAATAGTATCTATCGAGTATATCGAATAGCATGCTCGACGGATATAAATCGAAGAAAGATCGCTTTTAAAACAATAGCTTCGAAGCTTATATGCAAAAGCACTTGATTATTAGCTTAGCGTATATCGAATACTTTTCGAAAGAGTACCGCAAAAGCATATAGTTAATAGCTTAGCGTATGACGTAAACTCCGAATATATAGCTTCTCGCAAAAGAAGCAAGTTTAAAGAAGGTATAAAAACTAACTTTTAATTCGATTCTTTACGTAAGTTATTAAATATATATAAAGAAAAAGAGCTCCGACATATACTTAACGTTAAATCAAGAGATATATATGAATATAGTTATAATAAAATCGTAAGTGAATAAAAAGAGAAAAGGAAGACGATCGAAAGACACTCGAATGTGTGTTGTGAGTACGTGTATTATATTATATAATAATATGATGCTAGTTTAAAGAAGAACCAATTACTCGTCTATATAAGAGCCTGCACGTGACTTAATTACGTGCTTAGTAGAGCTAAAGCATGCAGCGCACCTACGTGACAAAGGTGCTTAGCATCAGTATTATATACATGGACAAAACAAATATAAAGCCGCAACTCCACCACACTATTTAATTAAGATCGGATATTGCGCTTCGAGTACGCTAACGATATTTATTTATATCGCGTTAATTGTATTTTCGATCGGAATATCGTTATGCTTTAAAACGATATTAATTTTATTATTAAGTAAAATAATATTTATAAAATCGCTTTCGCTTTAAAAAAGATCAAGATAATGCATTTCTTTTATAAAAAAGGTACGTATGCTTTTTTTTTTTGTAATTGATATTATAATTATTTCGTGCATTATTATAAGTTCGAAAAACAGAAATATATTTACGATACGATAGCTTAAAGTTTAGTTTAATCGCAAGCTAAAGTTTCGCCGATACGTTCGAAAACGAGCGGCTAAAATTAAAAAATTCGCTTAATATATTTGCAATCTTATTAAAATAATTTATAATTTATTTATAGTTTTATTGCGCAAAGCAATTATTACTTGCGTGCTGCTTTCGATACTATACGGCATAAAAGCGTAATACGTAAAGCGCTATCGCTTAATCTGCAAGTCCGAAAAATTAAAAATTATTAACGCTCGAGTCGAAAAGATAATTAACTTTATTAATAAAATGATAATTTTCGCGGCGAGCAAAATGCTTTCGATTTAAAAAACGATATTAACGGCAACGCTTTTTCGAAATGCCGAGCTTTTTTTCGGCGTTACGACTTTAAAAAAAGCTAAAGTTAAGTTTGCAATAAAATTAAAAACGGTAAACGATAAGCACTTATTAATTAGCCGGATACTTTTGCGAATCCGATAACGCGATCGCAGCGCGAAAATTATTAAAATCCTCGAAATTAAAATTTAAAAATTAAAAACTTTTTTTTTAAACGTTTTTCGCTTTCGCTTCGTCTCTTCGCACTTTATATTAAAGAGCAAACGGGACTTAGCGAATAATAAAACGAAGAAAAAAGCTATTGCTGCGTTCGAAATATAATAGCAATAGCTTTCGCTAAAAGATATTACGATTTTTTCGAACGAGTTAAAATAATACGATTAAAGCAATCGATTAATAAGCTACGAATACGTAATTTATTAAAAACGTTAAAAGATAAACTACGAATATAATTTTATTAATAATTGCTTTTACGTTTTTAATACGAAAGCGATAAAAGCATAAAAAAGCTTCGAACGAGTAGTACACGCTTATTTAATAGCAAAACGGATCTAGCTTTGCATCGATAGCATATTAATTATTTAATATTTTTACGAAAATGCTTTTTTATTATTATAATAAGCGTTTTTAAACGTTTAAAAAGTAATAAAGACTCGAGACGTACGAATACGATAATCTTTAAAGCATATAAATATTAAAAAAAACGAACGAGCGGATAAGCTTATAAATTTAAAAGCAAAGAAACCGAATTAAAATATTAATTTAGCATCGCAACTTACAATTAGCGGCATCCGTACACTTTTTTATAATATATAAAATAAAATACGAAAAGCTTAATAAAGCGCAAGTTTTCTTAAGCTTTTACGCTCGTATCGAAAATAAAGCTTTTTATATTTAATTAAGCTTTTTTCGAAGCTAAAACTTTTACGATATATTTTATATAAATTACTTGCGATCCGAATTACGCACGAAAACTTTACTTAATATTATATTAAGTTTTAATATTACGATGCTAACTTAAAGTATGCTTATAGCAAACGCAAGTCTTTTTTGCACTTAGCTTTTTGCCGATTTACGCAGCGACGCTTTTTTTTTTAATTTTATAAGACTCGATCGCGAACCTTTTCGAGCACGATTTCGAAAGCTTACGACTTTTTTAAAAGTCTTTTTAATAATTCGGCCGACTTTCAAGCTTTTTTAATTATTACGGAGTTCTACTTTAAGCATTGCATTTAATAAAAGTGCTATTTTAATTAATTGATATTGCTTCGTGATGTGCAAAAGCAGACCTGCAATGCACATTGCAGTAACCAGTCTTATAACCTTAATATTCCCGCACGACACTTCGGTAAAGAGAACAAAGTACGCTCCGCTTTATTTAAATTATAAAAGCTCGTTAAATTAATCGCGTTACGAGATTAAGACTTTAAAATAGCGTAATACGCTTTCGAAAGAATTCTTTTTAATATTAATATATTATATTAAGTTTTCTTTTAAAGTTTAAGCTTTTATATTCACTTTTTCTTTTCCTTTTCTTTTATATTCGGCTAACTTTAGTCCGGCTTTGATTCTTATCGCTACGCGACGTAAATAGCTCGCTTTTAGCTAGCTATAGCAGTTTATACTTGCTTAACTCTTTTTTTTATAATTTTCCTTTAATAAAAGGTTTCTTTTCTATATAATCCATCTTATTTATAAAAAAAGAGCGCATGCGATAATAGCCTTCGCTATAGCACTTTGAATTGCTTTCTAAGGCTTTCTTGTATATAACTCCTTAGCTTAATACGTCGCCGTACCTTATAAGAGGTCCCAGGGCGGCAAGCTTCGCCTGCTACCCGCCCGACGTTAATAAATACAACAACAATAACAAATTTACCTTCCCTCCCTTTGCCGTCATATTGAAAAATGGTAAACTACTAAGATATATATATATATTTGCGTTAAGTCTTAGTGCTAGTCGCCAATCTCGTACCATAAGTATTTTACCGTGTATACGTACATATATATAGAAAGAGAGAACACATTGTCCGTATTTCCAATAGACATCATATATGGTAAAGACAGAAAAGAGCTATTCATTACTATTTAAAGAACGGGGGGTGCGATCTCCAGAAATCCAACCCCCCCCCCCTCTCACTTTCACCTTCCCAGATCCTCCTTTCCTGCGATTAGATCGGGTTGCATGTATCTCCCGTGCCCCCCTCTACCTCTCTCTCTCTCTCTCTCTCTCTTCTCTCTTCTCTACTCTATATATATTATATGTATACCTGCCAGATTGTAGCGAATGCAACATGTCACGCCCTACTCAACTCCGCTCCTCTCCACGCGACGCGACTCTACTCCTCCGAACGGCGCGCCAGCTGGGCACTGCGGCGCATCTTCATGTTGTACTCGATCGCGCGCTTCTTCGCCGCCGAGCTCTGCGTGAAGGCGATGCTCCCGCCGAAGAACTGGGGCGGGCCGTTGCTCATCTTCGCCACGCAGACATTGGTCGCGTCCCCGATCGTGCCGGAGCAGGTCATGCCGGCCGGCATCTGCATCTTGGCAGGGAAGTCCATGACGGCCGCGGTAGAGATACCGGCGATCCCGATACCGGGCACGTTCTGGGGCATGGTGGCGGGCTTGAAGGCCGCCGCGTCGGTGCCGCCCGAGGTGGGGTCGACCATGGCGGAGAAGGGCCCGGCCCCGTCTTGGTTGACTTGGTGGATGGTCATGGAGATCATGCCGTTGTCGTCGGTGGTGGGGAGACCCATCATGGCGCCCACGCCGGCCGCGGCGGCGACACCGCCCTCGACGGTGCCCTTGGGGGTGGCGACGCCCTTGGGGTTGGTGACGGCGGCGCGGCGGTAGAGGCTGCTCGCTTCGTGGATGGCGCGGGCGGTCACGTTGACTGGAGCAGAGGAAGACGAGATTAGCATTTTGCGTTCCCACCGGGGGAGATGGCAAATCCATCCATCAATCAATCGAGCAGAAAGGGAGATCGCAGTCGGAAAGAAGGAGAAAGCTCACCTGGTCCGCTCATGAAGGCAGCCATCACGTTCTTGGCATCGACGGCGCCCTTGGAGGTCTTTCCCAGAGGCATGGCAGCGGCCTGGGCAGGGTTGAGGATCGAAGTGTCGGCCTCGGCCCCGGAGAATGGACTCGGGGAGTCACGAGGAGTACCGTCAATCACGGACAGCGCGGGCATGTTGACATCTGTTTACTCAATGTTTAGCGAAGCGTTGAGGGGATGGAGGGGATGGACGGGATGGAAGGAGACTGACTGTTGGCTCCCTGCACCTCAGTAACGACACCGTGGGAGTAGACGGAAGTGACAGCGAAGGCCACGTAGAGAAGAGCGGAAGAGTATTGCATTTTGAAGGACCGGCCTACGATTTAAATGAAAACGGATAAACAAGATGGGTAATTATTAAAGAAGTAAGGATGTACGGAAGAAGTTAGGATGTACTGAAGGAAATGAAGTAGATTGCAATGAAATGAAGAACTGATGATTTCGAAAGAGGGAGGGCGCCGCCCGCAATATATATATCTTTCCAGTCCTACCAGCGGGTTTCAAGAGGCGGTGTCGAGGATAGCTCAAACGCCACCTGAAGACGCCGCCTTGAAGCCCACTGACTTGCTTCAAACGTGACACCCATCAGATGCCATGGTGAACGAGCCTCAAACCACTCGGAGCATGAGTGGCAAGCTAGGTCAGTGCTCTTGCTGCATCCAAATAGGGTTTCAAACGAACTAATGGCATTCTGATAGGGCAAAGATGAGGCTCCTCCTGGAAACACGTCCAGCAGCAGGGGGACTCGGCTTCCATGCTTAACGCACATCCCTAAGAAGAGACTTGTATGGAAGCTGGATGTGCAAGGCAACCCTGAGTTGTTACAGTAGCAGGCTGGAGTGTAAACTGAATGGCGCTCGGATATGGATGAACGAAATGTTAGCTCCGCACAGACGGGAGATCCCAAACGGGACCTGTAGACAAAGTACAGCTCGGTTTTGAAAGTCAGCCGCAGTCTGAAGCGTCTCAGCGGAGTCCCCGGTATCATCTCAAGATCAGAGTTTCCCAAACAGAGGCAGTATGATCAATGTATAATCTACAAAACACCAGTGACAACGACAACGCATTGCACCCAGCAGCATCATGCAGGGCTTAGCCACCAAAGGGAACTGTCCCAGGCTCAGGATTGTACTTATGCCCTACCCAAGCGCGTGAAAAGATCAGAGCAACGTACGGAGTCATGCAAAGCCGAGAATTCAAATAGTGCATAGATAATAGAGGAAGTGGACAGACGTGACGAAGGGACGTGTTTGTTGTGGTCAGAGCGCCGCACCAAGCCTTCTGTCACCTGTCTACCTCGTGATGCGAGATGTCTGCTCGAATACAGACACATAGGATTGAAAAGCGCGATGATGCGAGATGAACCTCGAAAATCTGCCAATTCGAAATGATGAGATGCCGAGGAGTGAAATGATGTATCCATGATCGAGGAAGTTGACAGACGTGACGGAAGGGCGCGTTTATGATCAGAGCGCAGCACTAAGCCTTCTATCACTTTTCTGCCTCCTGATGCGATATATCCTCTTGGAAACAAATATAAAAGAAATAGAATCGCTGGCATGAAACACGCCTTTGAATTTGGCCATTTCGAAATGGTGCGCAGCCTGCGGAGCATAGTGTTCGGCTGGACGGGAAGCACGAGTCACAATCATTCTTCCCGAAAAGAAGTAGGAGCAGAGATGATAGCTTCTTCCCAGAGGGAAGGAAAGAATACAAATTCCTCTGAGACTTGGTGCGTGCTAAGGCGCACTGCACTAACACGCCTTATTCCTTCCGTACATCGACTGACTGTCACCCTTTGCGTTCGGCTAGGCCTTGGCATGTAAACATCTAGATGAGAATGGAATATCCCAAGCTATGCTGAGACATGGTAAACCAGAGGAGAGAAGTAATCTAACCGCCGGCTGGCCATGAAAAAACTAAGAAAAGAAAAAGGTAGGGAGACGGTATTTGAGAAGCGGGAGCAAAGTCTCCAGACCGCGGTAGAACGAGGCAAGTTCAAGTGCCGAGTACAGTATATACTAGAGAATGACATCCCACGGCTGCGGGGATCTGATTTCAATGTAACAGATATGAAAAATAATATTAAGATGTAATGATACTTACGGAGTAGATGTTGCGCGGAATATCTATAAAGCAAATCCCGCTGTCCTCCCTCGGAATAAGCTTTGCGGGACTAGCGCGCGATCAACTTCAAGACCCTACACGCCAGGTGTCGCTCGGGTGCAGGAACTATGGACCAGAGAGCAAAACATAAATGAAATGCCGACTGGGATGAATAACAGGCTGGTGGATTTATACGAACGTAACATGGATACATCAATACCTCGGAAGACTTAATCCGGGACTCGCTATCACGTGAAAGATGGTTTGATTTGGTATCGCGAAGCAAGGCAGTGAGTGCCCCCTAGGGACTGAGGCTGAAGGTTTCAAGAGCACCGAAAAAGAAAAAAAAGTGGCTCTGAAAATCCTTCTTAGTTGATCGGATAGGGGATGTGATATTGTGGAGGGGAAGAGCTCCGACATATACCCAACGTCAAATCAAGAGATATATATATATATAATCATGGTAGAATCGTAGGTGAAAAGGAGGGGAGAAGAAGGACGTTCGAGGACACTCGATTGTGTTCTGTATGTATGTGTATTGTGTTGTATTGATGGTGGTTCAGGGAGGAACCAACTACTCGTCTATATAGGAGTATGCACGTGACCTAACCACGTGCCTGGCAGAGCAAGAGCATGCGATGCACCCACGTAACAAAGGTGCCTAGCATCAATACTATATACATGGACAAAACAGATACAGACCCCCAAATCCACCACAATATGCATGCGTTCAGTTCACAGTTAAGCAATTAAGTAGGAGAAGAAAGACTTATAAAAAGAGCGGCCTTGGGTTTCTAATGCAGACCAGACACTCCACTTCATGTCACTTGGGCCATGGAGAGCAGTGCAAAGGGAAGTGTCTCTTACGAATCCGCACCCGAGGAATGATCCAGAGATAACAACCATGAAAGTAGTTCGTCAAGGAGTTGGCTTTGTATTGAGGTACCAACTGCCACGTCTCCTGGAAGATGAGTTGCAAAGCTATGTACACCCTATGCACCCCTATCCCTTATCCAGCACCTAACAAAAACTCGCTATCACCTCTGATGTAGCAACGTCGTCTTCGCAGTATCCTTCATTGCAGTAGTATCCCTGGCTCGCTCTCCCGACCTGAATGGGCATTCCACACCCTCCCCATGTGCGTGAAACGTGCAGAACGGCATCTCCCGCGGATCCTGAGCAATGGCTCCTCGAGGCTGAGTCCGCAAAAACTCGACATATTCCAAGGTCAGAGCCGGGTCGTCGGACAGAATCTTGCCCATAGCAGCAGTCGGCCATTGTTCGATGGTTCTTTCAGAAAGTACGAGCCCATTCAAGAGGAAATGATAGGAATACAAGAAGCATTTGCGGAAGTTGCAATGCTCGGGTAGCTGCGACAATGCCGCGGTAAGATGCTCGAGACCAGGGAAGTGTTCCGACTTTATCCATGAGTACATGAGAACGCTGATCATTTCGTCACCGAGCTCTCTGATGCACAGTTTGTCGAGGAAGAGGTACATCAGAATGGTCTGGGAGGTTTTGAAATCGACATCATCTTCCCTCTCCTCATCCCACATCCGGAATTCGTCGGTATAGATCCATCGACAAAGAACGTCGAACATATCAGGATCGTCTTCTGGTAAGTGGGCTTTCCCCGAAGACGCTTCGGCGAACCCGCCGTTGAACATTTTGTCAAAGAACGGGATTTTGCTGCAGAGGAAGTCCTTGTGGATGTAGTAGCGTTTAGATGTGTGACCTTCGCCAACCTCGATCTTAATAATTGTTGTTCCCAGTTCCCTTCACCTAGTAAGTACAACAGACGAATAGACATCTTCGAACATCTTAATTATTTAATACGAAATTTTCAACTTGCTTACAACGACTTGATTTTCATTGTATTCGATTTTTAAGATACGGTTTCCTTAAGAATCCGCTAGAACCAAATCAATAGCTCGTTGCGCTCGCCGCATAGCTCGAGAAATAGTTCTTATCACTTTATCGCGGTCTTTCGCGGACAATAACAATATTAATAACGCCGATTATACACGGCCTTAAGACGTTGCATCGCCGTTTAACTTTACTTAGCACTTTAAGAAAAGAAAAAAGAACGCTGCTATTAATTTGCAGCCTTTTCTTTTCGTATTAAAACGAAGAGCACCGATTATTAATACAGCGACGAAAGCTATCGAAAGCTATTTCGACGATATCGACCGCGCGGCTGCTATTAAACGACGAGTTTAGCAATAATACGCTTCCGCTTCAAATTAAATTATAAACGACCAACCGGACTTCGAATTTCGATATTATACGTAAGAGTTCTTTAAAAGTCTTTTTACGTTTATACGTACTTATTTATACGCAATTACCGAAGCAGCTACTCTTCTTTTTCTTTCGACCTTTCTTTATAGCAGCGAGCAAACGGCTTTTTTTAAGTCTGTTTTATAAGCAGATTCCGCGAGGCTTTCGAAGATTTTAAAAAACTTAAAAGCTATCGCTTAATTAACAATCGTTAAGCTGTTTCGATCCTCTTCCGTTATAAAAATAAGACTTGCAAAGACCCGCAAACTTACGAGCTTTTAAGCTACTCGCAAGTCTTTTAGCGAACAACTTAAAATACGCTAAAACAAGCGAGTCTTGATTCAAGTACTTTCCGCCGCACTTTTAACTCGTTTCGATAGCTACGCCGCTCGTAAAGCTATTACCGATAAATTAAACGGCGTCGATATAATTATTATCTTTCGTTTTAAAGCTATTCGCATTAATTAAGCACTTACTTCGATCAACTTTAAAGCGAAAGACCTTTTTATTATAGATAAAGCTAAAAAAGTATATTAAAAGGTTCTTAAAGCTACGAAAGCGATTATTTCGATTAAATAATATACGTACGCTATTTAAAAGGTTTTTGCTAAAATCAAAAGCTTTTTTAACGAGATTTTTAAGACGGCGGAGTATATCGACGAAAAGATCTTAGCTTAAGTTAAAAGAACTCCGGTAAGCGTTCGCATTTTTTAGCACGGAGCTAACTTAGCGATCGGCTTAACTTGCTAGATAGTTTCTTTTTTAAAAGAAGTCCGCAACTTTAAATTGTTCGGTTGTAACAACTACTTTCGATTAATCGATAAAAAGCAACTTATTAAAAAGTACGACTTTAGTTGCTTCAGCTAATATAACTCGGCTAAATGCATTCGGTACGCACGTTGCTTTTATTATAGCGAGCGAAAAGATTAGCACGACGGGCTCGACGGCAAAGATTATATAGCACTTTTTCGTTATATAAACTATTACGGCTCGTACGAAGCTAATTATAAGAACTGCTTTACGGCTTTTAAGCGAATTAACGGCAAAGTAATCACTTTTATTAAAAAAGAGCTAAGCGCCGTTCGACGATTAAAAGCTTAAGCTTACGTTATTGCTATTGCTTTTATAACGAAAAAGAACGAACCGATTTCGACTTTTTAATTAAAGACTTTTGCTATCGGTATTAACGCGGCTCTTTTTCGAAAAAGACGCGCTTTTACGATGCAAAAGCACGAGCGAGCGACTTCTTTTTAAGCCGTTTTTTTATAATCTTCTTTTTAATCTTTTACGCAAGCTACGAGACTTTTACGTAATATAGCTACGCGCAAAAACCTTAACGAAAAGACTTTAATAAACAGCGCTTTCTTTATTATAAACGAAAAAAAAGACACGTTAATAACGATATCGGACTATTACGTAAACAATACTATTAGCTTATCCTTTTCGTTTATAAAAAGCTCGAGCATTACTATTAGCTAAAATGCTTAAAACAACTTTATATATTAAGTACGCCGATACGGCATTGCGGCACTCGTTATAATCGATAGCTTTTTAAAGAAATCTAAGTCTATTAAGCGAACGTAAGCAAAAGGCAGCTATATTATATTGCTTTATTTTACTTTTGTTATTCGGTAAACATTAACGTTATTTGTATTTAAAAGCTGTATACGCACTCGAGCATTAAAACTTAAAACTATTCGTTTTATAAATGTTATGCTTCGATAAAATCGTAAGATAATTAAAACGATGTTTAATACTTCGTTAAGCGATTACGAATAATAACTTACGTACGTAAAAGCGTAAGTCTTCGCATTTAATAACGCCGTTTTATTCGTAATAAAGATCTTTTATAAGTCGATATAAACGGCTTCGTTACTTTAAACGTTTATTAACAACTTTTAATAGATTCGATTATAAATTATATTATTTACTTCGTCTTTTTTTTTAAATGCTTAATTAAAAAAGACTTTAATATATAATACGATATATTCGAATTAAAAGTTAAGCTTAAAAGCCGAAGAAAAGACTTTGCGGCTTAATTTAATGCTAATAAAATAGATTATATTAAACTTTCGAGCGACTTTACTTATAAAGCTAATTACGTTTTAAACTTAACTTTTTTAAATATCTCGTTTGCTTAAACGATAATTCGCTTCGATCTTTATTTAAGCTTAGACTACGAGACTTAAATTACGATTATCTTTAACCGAAAAGTCGTTCTTTTAAAGCGCTTTTAATACCGAGTACTAAATTAAAACTTCGAGAAATTCGCTTCGCTTATAACGTTAAGCGTAAACTAACTTTTCGATTCGTAAACGATACATTTTATCGAAGAACTCGATCAGCTTGCGATTAGCTTAATTATTGCTTTCAACTTTACTTTAAAAGTTGCGAAATAGCTCGCTTAAAAAGAGCTAACGGCTGCATTATAATAAACGGCAAATTGCTAAACAGCGTATAAGAAACACTTAATAACGCGCTTCGTAATATACAACGGAAAACCGATTTAAAAAACGCAAGACTAGCTCGTTATAATTAAAAAAGTTAAAAAGGCTTATTAAACTTACGTAATCGACGAAGTGAAATCGAATTAAAATTTATATAAAGTTATAAGCTAGTATAAGCTTACTTCGAACTTGAAATCGCTTTTTTTAATAATTAACGACGAAGCTATCGAAGATATTAAAAAGAAAGCGGACGCGTTACGAAAAAGCATTTTTAAACGGTTTAGCGCCGCTAACGACTTCGATTACGATTTACTCGCTAGTTAAAAAAGCATTAGCCGGCTTTTTTAAGATATTACGGTATTATTAAAAAAAGTAAAGTCTTACGTAATTAAAATAATAAGCACTTTACTTAAAACGAATAAGATCACCGTACAATTACTTAAAGCATATTAATAATACGTTTATTACTTCTTTTATAGCTTTTTTAATAAGTGTTTAGCTTTTTATTATTTTTCGAATACGTAAAAGCTCGTTAAAATCTCGATGATCTTTAAAGTAAAAAAAAAAATAAGACTTTTATCCGCTTTTAACGATCGATTGCTTTGCTTTCGTATATCTTTAAAAGATTAAAGCGCATCGTTACGAAAAGAATTGCGTAAATTGCTTTTATTAACGACGTCTTTAGCTTATAATACGCGAAAGCTTTTTTACAACGCTTTGTATTAAACTTCGCTTTATGCTTAATATACGATATCGAGTCCGTACTTATAGTTAAATACTAAATCATTATAATTATTATAAACGTTTAAAAAGCTTTCGATACGATCTTAACTCGTCGCTTTTTTAAACGTATAACGGAGCAAAGCTAATCGTACTTATTACTTAAGCTAATAAAATCTTTTCTTTTAAATTATAAAGTTAAAGTCCGATTAAAAAAAGAAATTACGAATATTTACGACGTAAAGTGCGGCATTTCGTAAAGATCTCCGCTATTACTAATGCTTTATATGCTTTACTTAATTAAGCTATTTAATTAAGATCGGATATTACGCTTCGAGTACGCTAACGATATCTGCTTATATCGCGTTAATCGCACTTTCGACCGGAATATCGTTATGCTTCGAAACGATATTAATTTTATTATTAAGTAAAGTAACACTTATAAAATCGCTTTCGCTTTAAAAAAGATCGAAATAATGTATTTCTTTTATAAGAAAAGTACGTATGTTTTTCTTTTCGTAATCGATATTATAATTATTTTGTATATTATTATAAATCCGAAAGATAAAAATACATTTGCGATACGATAGTTTAAAGTTTAATTTAATCGTAAGCTAAAGTTTCGTCGACACGTTTAAGAACGAGCAGTTAAAGTTAAAAAAGTCGCTTAGCATATCCGTAATCTCGTTAAGATAATTTACGGCTTTTTTATAGCTTTATTACGCAAAGCAATTATTACTTACGTATTACTTTCGATGCTTTACGGCACGGAAGCGTAGTACGCAAAGCGCTATCGCTTAATCTGCAAGTCCGAAAAACTAAAAGCTATTAGCGCTCGAGTCGAAAAGATAATTGACTTTATTAATAAAACGATAACTTTTATAGCGCGCGAAGTACTTTCGGTTTAAAAAACGATATTAACGATAACGCTCTTTCGAAATGCCGAGCTCTTTTCCGGCGCTACGGCTTTAAAAGAAGCTAAAGCTAAGTTTGCAATAAGATTAAAGACGGTAGACGATAAGCACTTATTAATTAGCCGGATACTTTTGCGAATTCGATAACGCAATCGTAGCGTAAAGATTATTAAGATCTTCGAGATTAAGATTTAAAAATTAAGAACTTTCTTTTTAAACGTTCTTTGCTTTCGCTTCGTCTTTTTGCATTTTATATCGAAAAGCAAACGAAACTCGGCGAACGGTAAAACGAAAAAAAAAGCTGCTATTGCATTCGAAGCATAATAGCAATAGCTTTCGTTAAAAGATATTACGATCTTTTTAAACGAGTTAAAATAATATAATTAAAGCAATCGATTAATAAGCTACGAGTACGTAGTTTATTAAAGACGATAAAAAATAAGCTACGAGTACGGCTTTATCAACGACTGCTTTTACGTCTTTAACGCAAAAGCGATAAAAGCATAGAAAAGCTTCGAACGAATAGTATACGCTTATCCGACGGCGAAACGGATCTAGCTTTGCATCGATAGCATATCAATTATTTAATATTTTCGTAAAAATGCTTTTTTATTATCGTAATAAGCGTTCTTAAACGTTTAAAAAATAATAAAGACTCGAAACGTGCGAATACGATAGTTTTTAAAGCATATAAGCATTAAAAAGAACGAACGAGCGGATAAGCTTGCAGACTTAAAAGTAAAAAAACCGGATTAAGATATTAGTTTAGCATCGTAACTTACGATTAATAGCATCCGCACACTTTTCCGCGATATACAAAATAAAGTACGAAAAGCTTAATAAAGCGCAAGCTTTTTTAAGCTTTTACGCTTGTATCGGAAATAAAGCTTTTTATACTTAATCAAGCTTTTTTCGAAACTAAAACTCTTACGATATGTTTTATATAAACTACTTGCGATCCGAACTACGCACGAAGACTTTACTTAATATTATATTAAGTTCTAGCATTACGACGCTAACTTAAAGTGTGCTTGCGGTAAACGCAAGTCTTTTTTGCATATAGCTTTTTGCCGATTCACGCAACGACGCTTTTTCTTTTAGCTTTATAAGACTCGACCGCGGACTTTTTTAAGCACGATCTCGAAAGCTTACGACTTCTTTAAAAGTCTTTTTAATAATCCGGCCGATTTTCAAGCTTTTTTAATTATTACGGAGTTTTATTTTAAGCATTGCACTCGATAAAAGTGCTATTCTAACTAACTGATATTGCTTTAATAAAGAAAACGAAATACGCTTCGCTTTACTTAAGCTATAAAAGCTCGTTAAATCAACCGCGTTATAAAACTAAGACTTTAAAATAGCGTAATGCGCTTTCGAAAGAATTCTTTTTAGCATTAATGTATTATATTAAGTTTTCTTTTAAAGTTTATGCTTTCGTATTCACTTTTTCTTTTGTACTCGGCTAACTTCGATCCGGCCTTGATTCTTATCGCTTTACGACGTAAACAGCTCGCTTTTAACTAGCTATAGCAGTTTATATATGCTTAACTCTTTTTTTTGTAATTCTCTTTTAATAAAAGGTTTCTTTTTATATGATTTATCTTATTTGTAAAAGAAGAGCGCATGCGATAATAGCCTTCGCTATAACACTTTAAATTGCTTTCTAAGGCCTTCTTATATGTAACTCTTTAACTTAGCACGTCGCCGTACCTTATAAAAGGTCTTAGGGCGGCAGGCTTTGCCTGCTACCCGCCCGACGTAAATAAATACAACAACAACAACAACAATTCACCTAGTAAGTACATTTTGAGGAAGACAAAAGAGTAGGCTATGTTTGAGAACTTACTTAAGGTATGATCCCGTCTGGAGTCCCTTATTCCTTGGTGTATCTATAGCACGCTTCTTCGAAGCCTCCCAAGATTCTATTGAAGCCACGGTTGAATTTGAAATCCGGGTGAGGCGGGTGCGGATTAGACGCGGGATTGCCTTACAACTGAAGATCAAAGACTGGTTTGGACAAACAGTGGTCAGCTTTCTCGCAAGTGGCAGGACGAGGTGAAGTCGGCTTACCAGCGCATCGAGTGCGTACTTGCGTTTCGCCATTATGGACGTTGTAGATGTTGCGGACGTTGCGCTCGGACTTGGAATTTCGATCTGTCGGACTTTTGTAAACAGACGAGACTGGAAAGGCCGGGTCGCGCGAGTGTAAAAGTCTCGTGACCTTCTTTGAGCGACTGTGCCTTGGACTACCATAGAACTCCTTCTTTGTCACAATTCAAAAATAAATCTAACGTGAAATATATATCCTTGAGCTTCCGATCGGGGCCAGGCCAAGAGTATACTATAAATAAGGATGGTATAGAAGGAAAGCCAAGCTCCCTGTTCCGGCCTCTGATACCCAGCTGTGGGTTAACTAGTCTCCATCCCCAAGAAAAACAACAACAACAGTAATCCTCAAGCCTAATATATACCCGATCTTCTTCCCAAGCATTTGACAAAGACAGGTAACCCCCATTGACCAAAGCAAGCAGCTAGATCGATCCCATTTTGGAACTCACAACAAGGACCTCCTCCCTCCTCTCCTGATCCCGACATCCATATTCAGCAGACACTTACAGCCCTTTCGGACCGACCATATCATATACCTGCCACCCACTCCCATCCGTCCAGTCCGCCACTCCTCCAAATTCTCCTACATGCCCAACCCGGCCCTGAACTGACACCAATATCCTGCCTCTCTCCCACTTCCTCGAAGCCCTCTCCCTCTACACCTGCCACGTTGCCCGAACAAAAACGATACCCGTACTTTTCCAAGGATCCAAGTAGCGGAGCACAGCTTCTGCGAAGAACCAGCTGCAAGCCAGGACCACGACGAGGATCTCCTCTGGATACAACCGGACTCGGTAGAGCTCAGGTCTGAAGAGCACTTTTCTTCTCTGCTCGGTTTAATATTCGTATTCCCTCTCACCTCTCATTCCTATTCCCATCCCCTCTCTTGAAATCCAGAAACAAAAAAGACCACCATCACTGTGTGCGTAAACCGAACTGAACCGAACCGAACTGAACTTAGTCAAAAACACTTCTTTCTGATAGAATCAAGAGTGTAGAAGGTTTTGATTCTAGTATGAGAGAGTGCTGAGAGCTGTCCACGTGGGAGTAGCGAAGAGGCTCGTCCGTACAGAGGAATCGGTGAAACCCTATATTCCAATACTTTCTTCGCTATATTGGCTTTCGTTGGGGATGGTGTGAGGGGGGAGGGAGGGTCTGCGGGCTGCCTGTCTGTTGGTTTTTGGTTGGCTGTTGGTTAGCTATTGGCTGTTGGTTTTTGAATTTTGGATTTAAAGCAGAAAGAAGTACGGCGTTGAGGTAGGGATGTGATGCGCTGTGTATGATTTGACTTGATATGACTTGACTTAACCTAACTCAAATCGACTTTCCCTAAGTTAGATCATACACGCTCAGACGAGGAAGAGAATAAACAGGGAGAGATTAAGGTGTCGAAATAAGAAGACGCTTTAATTCGTGTTTATTATACATCAGAAAGGCCGATGGATCCTCGAAGTGAGGTTATATCAGTGTTATTCAGCGGAATTCAAGGGAAGTGGGGGGAAGGTAGGTTGTTTTCGGATTGCTGATGTACGTATGAGGTGTGGTGGAAAGCCATGATGAGTTGCGTTGACAGAAAGATAAATATCCTACTTGAGCTTCTGTTATGCAAAAGCAGATCTGCAATCGCGTTGCAGTATTTCGGTCTTGTACCCCTTTCCTACCTTCCCACAGCTTCTCAGCTGGGAATCGAGACTCTGGGGCTGGGGGAGAGGGGGTTCATATACTGTAGAGGTTTGGTTGAAAGTATGTTGGAAACATCATGTCCTGATATCACATCAAGCACAGCGTTGTGGGAAACCTTCACAAGCAGCAAGAAGAGCATGAGACGACGTCAGATGACACGAAGAAATATTCATCATTCAGTACCAGCAAGCTGCCATGACCTTGTTCCGTCAACATGCAGCCCAGGTCATCAGATCATAGTATCCTCAGTGTACAAATGCCTAGAGACGCCCTTGTGACCATAACCCGCAGGAGAAAAACTCAAGTCGCAGGTGCAACCAGAAATAAAAAGAACTCTGCCACCGGCTAGGCTTTAGAAGCAAAAGTCAGAGGAACCAGAAAACCATTTACCAGTCATAGCTGACAATATTGGCAGCAGCAGAAGCATTGGCATCGTCTGCCCAGCTCTTGCCACCCTCGCCACCAGCAGGAGCAGCAGAAACAGTGTCCCAGTCGGCAGAGGTAGCAGGAACGGACTCCCAGTCACCCGAGGCTTGAATTACAGTGTGGTTTCCTCCGCCACCGTTGCCACCCTCGTCACCCCATCCAGGCGCAGCGGCGTACATGCTAGCACCACCATCACGCTGAGGGCGAGGCGCATTCTTCTGCACATGAATATTAGCATTTGCTCAAAAGCTCTCAGACCGGAGAAAACTTGCCCACTCATCGACCACAACCTGGATAGCCTTCTTGGCCTTATTGATAGTGAACTGGGTACCGATGATATTAACCATAACGATATCACGAGCCCGAGGGCGGTTATACTCGTCCTTCTGCGGCATCTTGATATCCTTGACACCGGTCTCCGCCTTGATCTTTTGGATCTTGGAGCCCTTGGGACCAATGATCTGACCACTGGAACCAGAGAAGATACCGTATTCCTCCTCGATCTCAATGCTGTTGTCCTCATTGCCGCCCTCAGCAGCATCAAAGAACTTTGGCTCAGGGAGCTCTGCAACTTTGGTACCGAACTTGTCATACGCTATAGATGAGGGTTAGTACAGTCGCCAACGATGGAATGGACGTAATAGGCGGAAAGGGAGTGCTGCTTACCATTCATGCGCTTGTGGAGGGAGTTGACCACATACTTCCAGCGAGGAACCCAGTAGAAGACGCCCATGGTTGCAAGCTCAGAGACAATCTTGGTTGCCTTGTCCTTCTCGGCTTCCTCGGTGTTTGCGGCGTATTCTCCCCAGATGGTACCATCAATTCCGTCGCCTTCAATATCAGCATCAGCGAGTTTGACGAAGGCCTGCATGGTTTCGACCTGGTTCTCGTGGCGGTAGGCGTGAACACCGACATCAAGGATGACATTCTTGTAAGCGGTACGGTGCATGATCTCGGTGTTCTTGCTTGGCTCAAGGTCACCAGGAACCAATCGAGCCATGTCCCGAGTAAGGTGGTGGTTGATATAGTTCAGGATCAGAACTCGGCTCTCAGCATCCTACTACAATTCAGCACAGTGCTTGACCATGTAATATACCCAGGAAAAAGAAGAGGCGAGAAGCTGTATATTAGAAGTTGAATATATACCTTTCGGTCATCATCGGCGACGTCCGGATCAAGGTGGAAGAACACTTCCCCATCATCGCGAGGACCCTTCATGAACTCGGCAGCGGTCGAGGGGTTGCCGTCCTTGTCCTCCAGCGCCGCGAAGAGGTTGCCTCTCGTGATGGACTGGGCTCCAGACTTAATGCCAGCAGCCTTCCCAGCAACGGGTTGGCCGTTTTCCTTGCCTGCGAGTGCCTTTTTTGCCATCTTGACGAGCTTTGGAGGGGCGTTGAGGTGATGTCGGGGGATGGTTGCTGAGGTGGATAGAATGGATGGAAGTCGAGATTCTCAGGTTCTTAAGTACAAATTCGTGGCTGCCGAACCAGGACGCACTAAATCGGAAGCACTAATTTTAGTGGGAACCTCACGTGAGAGGCATGAAGGACTCGTACCTGCGACTTGCAACCTGCAACAACAACAACAACGACAACAACAGCAGCAGCAGCAGCAGCAGAATTTAGATTGACATTCGACAACTTGGAAAAAGAACTTCGATGGGTTGAGTGCGAAGGACGAATCTTCTTCTCCGGCCAGGCAGCAAACGGATTCAGATTCGGATTCGGACGGCTGCCTGCATATATGTATGTATGCAAGCACTTCGCCCTTCACCTTCACCTTCACCTTCACCTTCACCTTCACAATGCAAACGGATGCCGAGCCCGTATATCCATCGCTTTAGTTGTTGCATCCTATTACCATGATGCAGCTCTGAAATCATTTGCTGCAGCTCAATAGAGGATGGAGCAGCGAAAAGATATCGTTCAGTCGACTGTAGCCCACATCGTTGCCTACTGCGTCCCTTTTCAACACATTGTCTTATCCTGGGCACGAAGATTCCTACAGCCTTTGTCAGTTCTGTACTTGGCCTGGCATATTCAACAGAGCCAGGGTCTCTGATCTTACACTGGAGAGGCTCTCTGCTAGATGCGAGTGTCCCCCTTTTAGTTCACAAGAGGGAGAGACATGTCTCGTGGAACATGCGATGAGAAAATTTTTGCTGAAATATTTTTTGACGAGTCCCGTATCTTCATATTTTGGCTTCCTTAGGGGATATAGAGGAATTAAAGGGAGTGTGGTAGATTATATGAAGAGTTGTTGCTCCCGTTGGTCTTGTATCTATTATCATTCGCCTGCTTTAAAATATAAAGCCGTTGGATTGACATGTCAAGCGAAAGAGCAAGGTTCTTTTTTTTTCTACCAAACCCTTAGATTTGCGGTACGGTTTCAATATAGTTAAAAAGTCGCAACATAGTAAGTGAGAGAGCGAGCGAAAGCGTTTGCCAGATTCTGCGGGGAACACTGCGGAAAGACATTATCTTCGGCAAATTTTAAACTGAAACTCAGGGCAATGTCAGCGACATCGTTGCACTCCCTGCGTTTCTTATTGTTATTATCGTATTTATTGTCGTCGGGCGGGTAGCAAGCGGAGCTTGCCGCCCTAGGACCTCCTACAAGGTACTGGGACGTGCTAAGCTAAGGAGTTGTATACAAGACGTCTCTAGAAAGCAATTGTAAAGTAGTAGATCAAAGGCTGCTATCATCTGCGCCCTTTTTTTTACACATAGAATAAATCATAAGTGACAGAGAGAGCTTTCGTCAAGGACAGAAAACCAAAGAAGCAAGCAAGGCAGAGACTGCCGCAGGTAGCTCGAAAGCGTAGCTATGTCAGAGTCGCAGAGCGACCAGCACTGCGTCTGTGAGGATCCTGGCAGAGTTGCTTTTCGAGGCCGATGGTAAATAAGCTGACTTGTTCTGCTCTTCTTGTGCTCCTCGGGATATAGGGGCTGCGTATGTACTTGCAAGGTGGGCTTATGCTTCGGAAGAGGATTGTAACTCTTTGGTCATTCCGAGTCGATCAGCTGGAGGCGTCTTCTTTTTGCTCCTGCTACTTCTGTGAGATCTTCTTTGCTATATGTATTATTGCGAGAAGGCAAACCGGTAAGCTACTCTCGTGAGATGTTGTCTGATTCATGTCTTATCACGTTTATACCTATTAAGTTGGGTCAGACACTCTGACTCTGATTCTTCGCTAATGCTATATATGGATGAGTTTATTTTCTGTACCTTGTGATTCAAGCAGCACTTCAAGCATATAGCCGTGCACTCCCGTAAATTGGCTAGAATACGATGATTAACTGAAGCTACCCCTCAACTATAAAAAGAAAGCCAGCCGTCGCAGATTCGCATTCTTTCCAATCAGATATCAACATCGCAAAGCAGTTCCTCGAAACCTCCACAGCCAAATCCGACTTCCTCGTCTCGACCAAGTATCGCTATCCTCAACCAACAACTTACCCAACAAACCTATCAACGCCCGTTTGCCACCCCACTCGATATCATGGTCTCGCATCCTGATTTCAAGCATTGCGCCGAGCGACTAATCCGAACCAGATTGGTAATCGGCCAACTGCTCACCGTCGTCGGAAGCGAATACCACGGCTACCTCGGCGTCATCTGCTCCGGATTCTGGGGCGCGACCCCCGTCCTCGACAGCGACGGCCAAATAATGCACAGGTCAGACGGCCGGCCCATCTTCCAGAACAACATCACCGTCTCGCTCTACGCCAAGTGCACCACGCGCGAGGGTCCCACGACAAAGCTTATCCAGGACCCGCTGATACGCAGGCTGCTCCGGCTCGCGGACGATCCGACCTTCTCGGCTCAAGAGCTGGGACTGAGAGCATTTGAGGGTATCAAGTTCAAGTGGGTTTGTGTGCAGACGGCAGTTACGGAAGAGTGGATAGTGGAATCGGATGCGTCGTCGTCGGAAGAGTCTTTGGGGTATCATTCAGAGGCGTCTTCTAGGCCCCAGGAGAACTCGCCGGTGGGGTCCCCGCCGTATTTAACTTCCTCGCCTAGCAGTGGGCCTTCCACGGGCGGTCCTCCAAGCTTACACGAAGCGGACGATGAGATTCCAGTAGGCGATCAAGTTGCAGTGGGCGATCAAAGTCCAGCAGGAGATCAAAGCCCGGCTTCAGAGTCTGGAGGAGACTGATGTCAGGACTTGGGAATGCTTGTGGAGCCACAATGTATCCTTCGCTGGGGATTCGGTTGGCATGGTCTTTCTTCCGAATGGCTAGACCACTGGAGAGCTGTTTTGTGCCTATTGCAATGCATTACTGGGTTTGGTAGACTGGGGATCGAAAATAGCTACATCATTCGAAGTCCATATGTAAGAGCATGCTTTCTTGAGATTTTGCGGATCGAACGTGATATTCATGGGGTTGAGATAGTTAAGTCTGAGAAAGGGGAAAGTGAGGCCCATTTCCTGACGTGGGACACTGTTGAGAACTGCCTGCAGGCTGTGATTAAAGAAAGGAAAAAAAGTAAGTGATGGTGGTGATCCGTATTGTAATCAACACCAAAAGAGAACTGCGATTGTCACCTGATGATAGATCGTTCTCTCCGGCCTTAGTGGAAGCCTTAGACTAGCGGACCTCTTAAAATATTTTTTACCTGTGTTATATAGCGTAGCAATGCTGGGCTTCACATCACCACCAGAGCACGGCTCTGGTGGTGTAGCGGGGTCACACCTGCTTCATTTGCTAATCTGATTAAAATCCTTTCCTTCGGGTTAAAGGGTTTTCAAGGCGCATGTCTTCCCCGGGACGCCGGAGAGGATATGTGACCGGAGTTTTGCTACTTTTTTCATTGGGGGTTATGTACTAGCGTGTTGGTCACGCGAGTTGCAGTCGTTGATGAGGCTCTGCTTGCTCGGGCGATACCAATCGTAAAATGAAAGCCAGGGATTTAGGAGCTGCGGTGCCGCAAGTTTTTTTTTTTTTTTTTCAGTTTTTTTTGGTGGGGGGGCGGGGAGGCGGAAGTGAACAATGTTCTCAGGGGAGATAGAAGGTAGCAACCGTCTTAAGAGCTTTAGACTTCAACGGGGGAAGAGATCATTGGGATGCAGAATCCAGAATACAAGATATTCAAGCATGTCTCTAAAGCAGGAGAAGTGAAAGGCATGCAGCGAATTGACCGTCCGGAACAAGAAATCTCGTGACTTGGCCAGCTTCCCTATAGGGAAAGAGCAGTGTGTTCCCTCCACGTGCTAATTTGATCACGCGACATACAAATTTCTTGAAAGCAGAACTTCGAAAACATTGCAAATGATACCGTATCTAACACTAAGTCGCTACCACCGGGCCCAGCACCGGACCGATGATAGCGAGCTGTCAAATGAATTGAAATGCAGTGAGGTCACGAGAAGTAAGCTTGATGTTCAGGTAGATTATCGGATGTATACCGGTACCTACTGTAGTCAGCAATCAGCCAAGCCACAGGCCCCACTAATGACGTCGCAGAGAGCTACCCTTGCCCCGCAGTCCGAGAGGGCCGGGCGGGATTCAGGAAAGAGCGGCAGGACCAGACTTGACCAGTAGGTAAATACATAAACATTGAGACGCCTCGACTCCGCTCTCTTTTCCCGTCATTCTCTTTTCAATCTCTCTCCTCGCCCCTTGAGTCTCTTCTGTATAGCTTCAATTGCGTCATTCGCTTCACAAAGGGCTCTTTGTTGACAAACAAGAGTTTGGGTTAAAGCTTGAATTCCCGGATCGCGCAACAAGCTTCCCCCCAAGCAAGGGTCCTACTTGTTGGTTGCAATTCAATATCGCGACAATGTCAACAATCGAGAAAGCCCTCCCGAAGCCAGGCATCGAGCTATACAGTGGGAAATACTTTGCTGCATGCGGACTGGGCGGGATAGTCGGTTCGTGAATGCCCTCCCCTCCTCATTGGCCTACACCAACGACGACGACAACAGCAATCATATTTGACCTCTCTCCCCCGTCCAAAACAAAGAATATATGCTAAGAATTGCTTCCGCCCCAGCCTGTGGCCCAACACATGCAGCAGTTTGCCCCCTCGATCTCGTAAAATGCCGTCGCCAGGTCGACTCCAAGCTCTACTCCTCCAACCTGCAAGCCTGGTCTAAAATCTACAAAGGCGAGGGGCTCCGTGGGGTGTTCTTTGGGTGGTCCCCCACGTTCGTCGGATACTGTATGCAGGGCGGAGGTAAGTACGGGTTCTACGAGGTATTCAAGTACACATACGGGGAGCAATTGTTCCCAAACATGAACCAGACTGCCGTGTTTCTGGCGGCGAGTGCCAGCGCGGAGTTTATCGCGGATCTCGCGTTGTGTCCGTTCGAAGCTGTGAAGGTCAGGATGCAGACGACCTTGCCGCCGTTTGCCCATACTCTGAGAGAGGGCATGGGAAAGGTGATTAAGGAGGAGGGGTATGCTGGGTATGTTCTCTTCCCCAAGTCAGCAGATATTATTGCTTGCTAATAGAGAGCAGCCTCTATAAAGGCCTCTACCCCCTCTGGGCTCGCCAGATCCCCTACACTATGGTCAAATTCGCAACCTTCGAAACCACGGTCAATGCCATCTACAGATCCCTGGGCAAGCCCAAGTCTTCGTACAGCGGCTTGCAGCAAACCGGTGTCTCTTTTCTGGGAGGATATATCGCAGGTATCGGGTGTGCAGTCGTCTCGCATCCTGCCGATGTCATGGTCTCCAAGCTTAACTCAGATCGCAAGCCCGGAGAGGGTGCTGGCAAGGCCATGAGTCGTATATACGGCAACATCGGGTTCAAGGGGCTGTGGAATGGACTACCGGTTCGAATCCTGATGATTGGAACTCTGACCGCGTTCCAGTGGTTGATTTATGATAGTTTCAAGGTGGGCCTGGGCTTGCCTACCACGGGTGGCCATTGAGGGGTCGGTTTTAGCAGGAGTGGGGAGAGATTTGGATGTATCTCGTTTATGCAAATACAATTTGTTGGAAAACAGCCTGTAGCATTCATTGTGCGATGTTCTAAGTTCATGTCCTTGAGCTCGATCTATTTACGAGTTTCATCAGATAACATAAGAAGCGACGGGCTCTCCACACCTTGGATCAAGTGAGGACGGTACATCATCTTCATCTTCTTTGAGCCTGCCTGAAGCTATGAGCATAGAGATGCTAAGTCGGCAGGGGGGTTTTTTTTCTTTCTCGTAGCTGCCAGTGATCAGGGGGTAAGTTGATGAATGAATGAATGAATGGACGAGTGAATGAATGAATGAATAAAATTATAGTCTCTTTTCCCTTAAGCTCATTACTGTCTTTGAGTTACATATCATATCGAGAGAATCGTTGGACTGAGAGAGGCCTGGTCAATGGTGCTCTAGGTATCGTGGAAGATTTTAATTGGCTTCCTAGAGCTGATTGTGATCAGGATATTCCTATTATGCTGGTCGCCTTCGATAAGTACGATGGACCTTACCTTTGTAAAAACGCTAAAGGTTAATAAGTCGTGCCGATTACTCTTTCAAAGAGAGAGTTTATGTTAGGGAATGTGGCTTGCACTCGGATATAGCTCCCTTTTACTATTGCTTTCGCTATTACTGTTTACAAATCCTAAGGGATTATAGCCGATAGGATAGTTACGAATTTGACTGTGAGAGATCACGTTATTGGATTGAGTTACGTCGCTGTATCTTGGGTCAAGACCTTAAGAGGTCTTCTTATTGAGGAGCTATTCGATTACTTTCGTTTTCAGGTTACGAAGGTTTCGAAGACTGAGACTATGAGACTCGCTGATGTAGCACGTCGCCTCTTTTAGCATGTTCCTCTCTCTATCTTAGAATTGGATTAGGTCACGTTATTAAGGATTCGCGGTTGTGGATGTATAAAGGTCACGTTTTGGTGATGGAGCTAGAGGTATTGACCATTGACGACTAGAGATATACTATTATTTCGAACTTCAAATCATTTAAACAAACACCCCTTTTCAAATTCTGTAAACTCTTAATTGCGCGTATATACCTTGGTAGGTGCACTCCCAAGCTCGCTTTGATGTTACGTAAGCTGCTTGCCATTTACGTCAACTTACTTGATATCGGTCTACATTTATACTTCTTCTCTCGGTAGTTACTGCGAAACTCATTACGCGATCCCTTTGTGATATTCTGGGTGAGCAATGCGCTCTTGGAGTGGAAAGCGTCATCTCCTCTTCTTTTCTTTTTGATAGTCTGTCGGGGTCGGGGATTGAGAAATGAGTGTTTGTGTGTGTGTGTAAACCGCCGCTCCTGAACTCTGGGAGATCCGCTCTTGGGATTTGAATTGTTTGAGCAGGGCGTAGGTAGGTAGGTGGTAGGTATATGACAGCAGCATGAGCATGGCAGGAGTTTGCTCATTGACAGCAGCAACTCTATCTATCGATTTTGTAAATACCTATTCAAATTCAAACCCAGTCTGAGGGGTTGAATTCCCCCCTTTCTTTTTTAACATCTTGGTGGAAAGGTCATGGATGGGTACAGTACGTAGCTGAAGTGCTGGAGAATCCTTGACTGGGATTCTCTGCTCTCTTCATGGCTGCTGGATCTCCGGGCTTGTCGAGCATTTCATGAAGTACTCGCACCTACTGGGGTCTTTGATTTTCGAGGAGTACGCTGCGGATAGGGATGGGTGGGTGTGTGTGTCTGGTGTATTTATGCGCTGCCTGACCTGATCAGACAAGACTCATCCCATGTCCGAAGCTGTGAAATTGAATTGTTGCATTGGGGCTGATCTCACAGATGTGATTAAACTGTCAAATACAGTACCTCTTTCCAAAGAGCTCATCTCGAATTCACAGCGATAGAGCTAACCTCGAATTCACAGCGAATATCTCCAAGTGATTATCGCATCAGCTTGACCGGACATATAACACCATGCTTTTTCCCTTGCGAACGGGTTTCTAGAATCACGCTATCCAAGCCAGCTCCATCAGCAGATGGGCAGTGACATCTGCTAGCGGAGCTCAGACTATATAGTCTTTCGGCTTTCTATAAACGAGTAATCGTCCTCTCTCCTCCTCCTCCTATAATGAATCGCATCTCTCTTCGCGATGCATCTAAGCCAGCTCCACCTAGGACATCGGAGCCAAGAAGAGGCTTCCCGTCGCTATCTTGAATGTATGTAAAGTACCCGACCCCGATCCCGCTCCTGCTGTCACTCCGCTTTCTATCCCGCTGCTCTCGCATGCGCGCCTTTTCGGAATTCCGCATGCGTCTCTCTCTCGTGCTAGAGAGAGGCTGCCTGCCACAATGGATGTTCTCAGCCGCTAAGCGGTGAATGAATTGGGGAAATTTCTTAGCTGGTTAACAGATGACATTCGGTCGACTACCGGATGCAATGTATAATAGTGAGAGAGCTGGTACCTGGCAATCAGGGGAGACATGCGCGCTGCGACGTCATCCTAGACGAACCCATATAGGCTCCGCGGAAGAAACAGAATCGACCGAGTGCTTGACGACCTGTTCGAAGTTGTTTACAGCCCAACGATCGTCAGTCTTGGAAAGCGCCTTTCGCGAACGAGGCTTGGAGTTTGGCGTCTCACGAATCGTCTAGGGTAACGTCCACGCCGGTGGATCGAATGGCTTGCGCAGATGGAAGATGCTCGGGAGGAGGTATAGAGGAAGGGTCTATTTGTACAACTGTTCCAAGGCATGAATGAGAGCTTGCAATGATTTCTGAAGCTCGTTTTATCAGTGGGTGCGTGCCTGAGTACAGGACCGTGGTACTGCATGGCCTGGTTGCATAGCTAGCATCATTTGCATTATATTCACTTCCGCCCTTAGAAAAGCTATAAGAAAATATCTTCAGCTTCCTTTTTTT